TATATATATATATATATACTTGAATTGAACGTTTGATTTCAGTATTTCACTAAGCAGTATGGAGTCAGAGGCAGACGAGTCTTCATTGATAGATAACGTAGATGGCAGCACCGTTAGGTTATTGGGGCCAGATGCTCCAATTGTGGTAAGGCACAGAGGAACTAGGGGTAGTGGCGGTGGAGCTAGTACGCATTCATTGAACGAAGCGGACCTTCAGGTGAGTGAAATTTATGTTAACCAACCCCCAATGATAATGAAGAAAAGAGAATTGGAACTTTCTATGTTTTTTATCACTTTTGTTTGTAACCAACGTTTCTGTAGTTTCGTTCTATAAGGACATTTTCAAACGTATGCATTAAACTAACAATGATTGATTACATTAGCCCTTATAAAGCACCCCTGTAGGTGATGATAGAGGTACTTAGCTTGATTGAATAAACTAAATCGATTTGATCATTTAACAGGTTGCACCCGCAATGTTTATGCTTGTGAATTTCTAAGGATTCTAAATATTTGAGTTTGCTACCCTTCCTTGCATAGTGCAAAATTTCCGTATCGTTTAGATTCGGAAACTTGTGGTTGCACATTTAACAGGTTGCACCCGCAGTGTTTATGCTTGTAAATTTCCAAAGATTCCAAATATTTGAGTTTGCTACCCTTCCTTGCATAGTGCAAAATTTCCGTATCGTTTAGATTCGGAAACTTGTGGTTGCACATTTAACAGGTTGCACCCGCAGTGTTTATGCTTGTAAATTTCCAAAGATTCCAAATATTTGAGTTTGCTACCCTTCCTTGCATAGTGCAAAATTTCCGTATCGTTTAGATTCGGAAACTTGTGGTTGCACATTTAACAGGTTGCACCCGCAGTGTTTATGCTTGTAAATTTCAAAAGATTCCAAATATTTGAGTTTGCTACCCTTCCTTGCATAGTGCAAAATTTCCGTATCGTTTAGATTCGGAAACTTGTGGTTGCACATTTAACAGGTTNTAATTTCCATTATGAAAGGCCAATTTTATACCGGTCGTCCAAATTCCAATAGTGAACCACATGTGAGAACGGGACCTGGCACACACATGCCTACCGGTGATCGACCCCGATCACCGGTCGGAATGGCCTCTTTGGGCCTCTTTAAACGTAATAACTTGGGTACTTTTTTCGAGTGATTGTCCCGCTACTGTAGATTTGTCAGTATGTTCCAAGCGACAATTTCTCTTGTGTTGACAGAGCCAGGTGCTTACAGTTCTCTTCGTGGTTCCTATGTAGACTGCTCTACAAGTGATTCGGGATACCCTCGGTTTTGGTAGAGACCCTCTGGCATTTAGCTGATCTTAGACTCTCTGTAATGGTTTTCTCGGGCCTAAATACCTATTTCACGTTGCGTTTCTCCACAACAGAATTTAAAATTTTATCTCATAATATAAATGAATAAGTAATGATACATAATTTCAGTTAACAAGAAGAGGGAATTACCATAAATAAAGTTTGGCTACCTGCACTAAGTTACATTCGCAAAAAGGGGTCATTTTGATTCGACCAATATATACGATGCTACGTCTACCAACAATAGAACATAACCGGTGATTCAAACTTTGAATGTAGAATCTGCTTCATTGGCTTTGATATTGTCTAACCGCAGTAGTAGACAAAACCTCAGGCAGAAAAACTTGCAGATCAGAGTCAAGAAACCCAAAAATTGCGTATTCAAAAAACACACTTCAATATGAAATTTTCATTTGAAAGTTCATGAAACCGCGAAAGTGGTTGACAATGTTTTATGGTAAATTTTACTAGTTCGGACTTTCATTGTCTGATATGATTCGAAATATATGGAAGAACAAATAAAATTAGAATTAATATGTAGCCCGCAAAAGCTACTAAGAAATGGAAGTCGCTATGACGATCAAGTATTCGGCTCCGGCTAATTCTAGTGGAGGTGGGAGCGGGTTGTAATAAAGATGTGTTAAGGATTTGGGCGCTAGGTACCTTTAACCCTCGAATACTCAATCAACTACCAATCACAAAGTACCCAACTAACTGGAGATTGACTTCAAAAATGTCGCAATAATAAAAAGAATAAATCTCGCTGGTGAATTAACGCTTTACTAATAACAATAAATTCAATTTTCTGGTAAATATAAATGGGAAGGGCGCAGAAATTAATGGATGGATAGTTATAAGCACCAAAATTAAGATAATAACCGCCGCTATTTGGGCCAGAAGAGAAAGGTGCATAAACTAATGATCTCTTACTATTCACCACCGTTACCGATTAATTTCCGCAAATAACAAATGTGAAATTGAAATGATACAATAAATTTGACAACAACAAAAAATCAAAGTCTTAACAATAACCCAAAATATTTTATCCCGGTGCGTTCTAACGCAAATTGAAATCAATGAAACCAACAAGAAAATAATTATTTAGATTTGCTTCAATTGTGTTGATTGGCAACCCTGCGCGAGGCCAAAAATTAATTGAAACTAATGAAACCTACCATAAATTAATTAAATACGAAAATAAAAATAGAACCCGTAGGTTTCTTAGGAAATTTGGCAACATGGCAAAATAATAAATTATCTAGGAGATGAATTACAATATT